ATTTAACAAACGGCAGTAGCAGCTACGGCTGTTGGCAAGCAGTTTTGTTTGCGTTCCCGTCTATGGCATTACGTCTGGATTTGGGTTTGCCGTGGAAAATTTAATTTATTTAATAATAAACGGTTGTTGTTGGCTTTGCGCCGTTGTTATGGCGGAAATGTTTGCGAAACGTTCTCGCTGAGAAGAAAATTAATTGTTAACGGCGAATAATTAAGGCGGAGGGAGAGGGAGTAGAGGAAGGAAAAACAAGAAAAAGAATATTTCGATGCTGTTTTTGATCGAATATGTACGCGTTTTGAAAATAACATATTAAATCTATAATTAAGCCAGGGTAAGCAATTTAAGAATAGTGTTTTAATGAAAATTATAAACAACAGCGGGAAAACTTGTGGGAAATTCTGAACTTGCAAAAAAATTGGACGCTTTTAAAGGGAAACACCTTTTTCTATAGGAGATAGACGAAAACTAATATCAATGTCTGTAGCTCAATTTTTATCAAAACTATGATGGTGAAAACCGTACACCGATATCTGTTACCGTTTCGTAGCTACGGGGTGTTTCTCAAAAATGTGCATTTTTAACAAATCGCTGTAACTTTTTTGCTATAGAAAATTGTGTATTTTTATAACCCTTGTTATATCCCTTGTAGAAACGTAATTTCATTTGGACTTTGGACGTGCTGTATGGGGCTGCTTCCATATAACACGGTGGGGATTATTGTTGCTCGGTACACTGGGTACAAGTTTCGTTTTTGTGCTCAAGTGATGATTGTAGAAAACCCTGTCTTTTAATTTCCTCTCTAAAAGTGCTCTCGAGCAGTGTCGGACTGGATCAGATTGCTCAGGTGGAATTTTTTGGCGTTTTTTGCATAATTCTAAGATATTAGTAAATATTTTTGATTGTTTTCGAGATATTAATAAATAAATAAAAAATATATTTTTTCAGCCTTTAAAAAAATATTAAAAATACAAGAAATGTCCTGAAATGAAAACTATACTTACATACTTTAGGTTTGCACTTATATACATAATTTCTAAGTTATTTATCATAGGAGATACAGATGCCTGACGCACTATCGCCGGACCCTGTATGCCAATCGATGCCAATAACAAATGTTTGCCAAGTACTCGAGTTGTCTGAGTGCGCAATAAAATTATTGTCTCAACCAGCAAAACCGGTGCATAAAACTATGATCGCTATCGTAGATGAATCAGTCGGCGTGTTATTACTTTATTACCAATCTAAACAGTTTTAAGAGCTTGAGTAATAAATTATAATGCACGTTAGATTTTCCGAAAATATCAAGCTTTCCATTTTTATTTTATTTTTAGAATTTTCACAAATTGCACTTACCAAACCAAACCAAAACATTTCCAAAGCACATTTCCACGTAGAATTTAATGGTTTAAGTATAATTTTTTTAAAAAGAATAATTTAAGAATTATTAACAGGAAATTTGATTTTTTATATGGGACACCCTGTATATTTTTAATTAATTGAGAAGAATTTAAAACTACCTTTCCAAAAATATAGCATACTTGATATTCTGCTCGATTCCTTTTATAGAGATATAGAGTTTTAAAAAATTCGCCCACTTTGAATAAGTACGCTTTGAACGGTGCCGGCTGTAATGCAAAAAAAGTCTGGCTGTGAGTAGCAATTAAAACAAAAATAATATTTGCAATGAAAGATGCAAAATTCTATAACAATTTAGCCTCGTCTTGCTGGAAAATATGTTTTTGAGTCCCATCAGGGGCAGATCATCAATAAGGGGTCCAGCCTACGAGTTAAAAAGTGGCGAACATTTAAAAATTCTCTATTTCGAAGGTAACTGTAACAAAATATCAAGTATACTTTTTGAAAGGTAATTTTAAGTTCTTTTCATCTAATTAAAAATATACAAGGTGTCCCAAATAAACAATCAATTTTTCTGTTGATAATTATGAAATGTTTTCATAAAAATATAAAATTTTCCATAGCAAAAAAGTTACAGCGATTTGTTAAAAATGCACATTTTCGAAAAACGCCCCGTAACTCATAAACCGTAAAAGATATCGTTGTGCGGTTCATCATCATGTTTTTGATATAAATTGAGCTCCAGACACCGATATTAGTTTTCGTCTATCTCCTATAGAAAAGGGATTTCCCTTTAAAAGCGTCGAATTTGACCCACCCTGTACATAAATATACTAATAAACTATAAACTTCACACGCATCAAGTGCAAGCCATCAAATGCCTAAATAATCCTAAACATGCCTCAGAATTCGGACATATATATTCTTACGACGGTAATTGACTATGAAACGAACTATGCGAATAGGAACTTGGAACATCTTTGTCAAAAAAACTTTGGAAGTTACATCAGGGGTAGCTAGGTTCAACTATGAAGAGAATATCCAGAAAAAACGGGATGAACTAGCCTGGACAACTGACAACATAAAGACATTATTGAAAGAAAAACCAAAATTCTATCAAAAATTGCTCGCAGACCGATCAGAGACTAACTGGTGTCATTACAAACAAAATAATAGAGACGCCATTAAGGCAGGAAAAACAAATATATGGGAAAGAAGGTGTCAGGAATTGGAATATCTACTAGGAGGTGCACGGAGTACTAAGGTCTGGAGAACAACCCGGCAAATGAAAACCAGTCAAACATAAAAGCTTTTAAATAAAGCGGATATAGAAAAAACTACTATTCATAATTGCTAACAGAAAACCGACCAGAATTTCAAGCTGCAGAAGTGAGGGGCAACGAGAGAAAGAGTACATCTAAGTCTCAAAGAACAAGAAAAATGGACGGTTACCAGGTTCTGGTAACATTGCAGCGGAATTGTTAAAGTGTGCGATCCAAAGACTGAGCCGGTGCGCGTCTGGCAGGGCCGTTCAACCAATTCTGTATGCAATAACCTACCCGAGAATGGAGAGTCGCTCACATAAAACAATAGATGCTTTTTCATAAACTTTTAATTTTCGAAGATTATCATTTTAGATTTTTACCCTATTTCCGATTTCCATCTAATATGACTCTACTAAACAATAATTATTATTCATTGAATCATTCTCAAATGCAATCAAATCAAAATGATTAAATATGCATACATTTTTGGGTGAATTGGTTCAATATTTTTTAAATTATCTCTGTTCTATATAAAAAGTCGACCTTTGTATATTACTACGACCATTTTTTATGCGAAAATAAAATACGAAAATAAAGTACGACCTATTAAATCTTAAGGTGCGTATTCATTATCCGCACGAACGAACGAACGAACGAATGTTCGCTAGTGGTATGGACGGGGACCGCACGATAGAACCGCACGAGAAGACCGCACGCATTTCTTCATTCGCGCGCCAGTTCAAATCGTCAAGATATTGTTATAAACCTGATTTTTTTTGTTTATATACCGTCATTGAATTATCGCTAAGCAAGTTACTATGGAGCAGTGCATAAGGAGTCGGGCTAGGAAGCGAGAGACCGGAGTTCGAATCTCGGCCGGAACATCACTTTTTTTTTTTAAAAATACTGTTGTATTCTATAGTTTATTTTTGTAGTATAAGAAAAAGAACTATTTATTCTGTTATTTTTTAATCTCCGTTATTAATATAAATTGATTGTTAATACAATACCTCATTTAATATAAAATAATATTCTACTTTTTGAAATGTATCGGGCCCTAATTGTACCTAAAAGTAATATATTTTTAGTGATATACCATATTGTAACCTATTTAATATTTTAGTCACTTAAAAAGTTAATTTGCATTGAATAATTGCCTACCATTAAAGGAAATTTGAGCTATATAATCCTTGATGGGCATATTCTGGGTATGCAAATACTTCCTTTAAATTTTGGGTGTCGTTCAACCGATTTATTCTCAAAACCAGAAACTTCTACATATAAAAAGAAGCAGAGGTCACTAATTATAATAAACTTCACCCTTGGTATTACTTCCACTAATTATAATAAACTTCACCCTTAGAATTACTTCTATCACAATTACAATACGTTCATCTGCATTGGCATTTTCTACTTTTCGATGGGAAACAATAAACTTCCCAATATTTTTTAAATGATGTAACAATTCCTCTTGTGGTTACTTTTCCATAGATATCCTCAACTCTGTCCTCATGTGAATTCAGAGGCAATGAAAATGAAAATTATTTACCATAAACATCGCAAACTAAAAACCTAATAAACAATTTTATACCGAATATAGAAATAAATTCAGTATTCTTACCTATCGTCCAAATCCATGTTAATAGATAATTATTATTTTTAAATATATTTTTGGAACTGCTGGTTTTAGTAATTATTAAATTAAACGAACTAAAAAGTCTTAAAATAAACAATTCTTAACCATAACCCCAAAAATTGCAGATCTCCTGTCAACTTTCTTTATTTTTTATTTATTCATTATTTTCCTAGTGACGTCACAGGTGGTATGCGCGAACTGAACGAAATTGGAGCCGCTATCGATCATACCTTGTATTCTTTGTACCATGACGTCTAAACGCCTTTGATGTACCGACTCGAAGCGGATGGTCGAGCGCACGAACGAACGAACGGCCGCATGCGTTCGGTCCCCGTCTAAATATACCGCACTTTCATTCGTTCGTTCGTTCGTTCGTTCGGATAATGAATACGCACCTTAAATCTGAAAGCGCACGCAGGCGAACGCCTTTGATGTACCGACTCGAAGCGGATGGTCGAGCGCACGACCGAACGAACGGCCGCATGCGTTCGGTCCCCGTCTAAATATACCGCACTTTCATTCGTTCGTTCGTTCGTTCGTTCGTTCGGATAATGAATACGCACCTTTACATACCCACATATCGAAAAAAGTTACAATTACGACGTCATGCAGACATCCAGACAGACTTCAATCTCGCCGTCACTCATCTCCATACACTCCGAATTAATTCACCGACATGGTCGGGTCTGGAGGGGTGCAAAAACGTCCACCCCAGCCCAAAATGCAGTTAGCGAATCACTTACCGTTCCTGTTCTCGCTGTCGGCCGGCTTCATCTGGATGGGATGGTGCATCTGGAACAGACAGAATTAATAGATTAGTGAGAAACGCACGGTCGAGAGGGGCAGCCATATGCGATGGACCTCTCTCAAGCCGCTATTGTAAACGGTGGATGTAGAGACGAACTATTGTGCATTTTAATAGCGTTAGAATGAGATTCAGCTCATGCCATATTTAATACTTTAGTCATATCTAATAAAATCTATACTATACAGGGTGCGTCTCAAAAGTGGCTCACCCCTATAACTTTCATATTTTTTCAGATAAAAAACTGATTTGGTATGTTAGTATATGACAGAAACTAGTATTGATTGACGTATTCAATTGTCTTCGGTCACTTCCTGTTTTACCGGAAATTACTCCAAATTTTGATTTTTAAATAGGACCTTTATTTGATAGAAAATGACACACTGAATAGAATGACATATCATATGTCAACTTTTGACATTTTCGAATACGGTTTAATTGAAATTGCAAGATGCGATTTATAACGACAATTTGACTCGAAATACCAAGTGTGTGGTACCAAATTATTCGTAAAAAAATGCTTTTTCCAAATATGCTAATGAGCCACCATCGTTCCATTTGAAAAAATTGATATATGATTAAAAATACGATTTGGATATTTTTTATATAACTGGCCAGGAAAAGACTACCAAATTTGTTTTTTCAAGGCTCCTTGATTAAAAATTAGTGTTTTTAACACAGCCTTGGCACTCGAGATTGAAATTTAAAATTCAATTTTATTTTAAGCTAAAATGTCAAAAGTTGACATATTATAGGTCATTCTATTCAGGGTATCATTTTCTATCGAATAAAGTAAAAAAATACCGAGGGTGCCATTTAAAAATGAAAAGTTGTAGTCATTTCGGGTGAAAAAGGAAGTGATCGAAAATAATTAAATACGCCAATCAATCTTAATTTATGGCATATACTAACATACAAAATCTCGTATTTTTATCTGAAAAAATAAAAAAGTTATAGGGGTGAGCCACTATTGAGACGCACCTGGTATGTAAAACTTTTAAACAAATGTAACTTTAAATATAATCCGCATAGGCATTTCTATTACTTTAGCCCTTAAACAGCCATGCTATTAATATCAACGTTAATAACCCCCCTGTTGGGTATTAACGTTGATATTAATTCTCCAAGGGCCCCAGAAGAAAAAAAGTTTTTTTTTCTCCAACGTCAAAAGTATTAATTTTTGCGACGTGATTGACAACATAAAAAGTCATTTTAACAACGAGGCATAAAAGTAAAGCATTGCTTTGAATATTGTAGACAATGATTCAGTATCAAAGTTATTAAATTAAACGATAGTGTAAAAAACGGGGCTTTTTATGAAATCATGATCAACTATGGGGTTTCCATTTAAAATAACATATCGTCAGTGAAACGTAATAACCTGCTAATTATGAGACGTGATAACTGCTAACCATTTTTGATTTTTACGTAAAATCTTTAACAAAATATTAAATTTTATTGTTCCCCAACTAACATTATTGTTATCTCTATATCATATTAATGCTATGTATATTTTTTTTTGTATCGTTTCTTTTCTCTCATCGAAAATTATGAATAATGGAGTTAGCAGTTTATCACATTTTACCGACGATATATTTGTGTCATATGTCAAAAATGACAGTCTTTAGAAAAAATCGGAGAACACAAACTCATTAGGGATGTGATTATCTACAACTTTTATCTGAAAACTTTTTGTCTAAAATAGATTATAATGGAATTAGGAACGATTTTTAAAATAGCCAAAATTTGTTTTTTTCAAAAATCTGAAAGGCGTATATTGCAATGCTCCACAAAACTGCAATTCTTTCTCCATTTAATCGACTCTCTATCTCCAGTAGTTTCCGAGATACCCATAGAGAACATCGTTAAGGGCAACGGCCCAGCTGCGTCGAAACACCGGTTCCCATTAGAACACCGAAGTTAAGCGACGTAAGACGATACTAGTGGATGCACGGGTGACCGGTTCGGAACTCTGTATTGTGCTGTTGTCCAATTAAGGCAAAAGTGTAAAATCTATTGACACACATTGCTCATTCACGCCGGTTCGAGGCCGGATGAGATCGGATATCTCGTGAGTAAGAGTTGATGTAGACACTTGCCAAGTCGGTAGGCCATTGACCATGATATGGCCGAGGACCGCGGTTCGGATTTTTCGTAAACAAAGTAGACCCCGTCCAGATTAGCCCTGGCAGCAAAAATGAGACGTTAACTGAAATCTTTACTTTAGAAAACTCACCTTGTATTTATAACGTGTGTGTTTCGTAATTTCAGTCTAAAAGGAACAATAAATTTTGATAGTAGCATTCTTTTGACCAATTCTTCAAAGACCCAGAGCATTCGACATGTTTTCAGAAACCAGAGACATTTTTAAACTGGTTCAAAAGCTAACTGATAAGAAAAAAAAAAGACATACATGTACATTTTCGTGCGGGCATAGGATACGTACGAACACGACACGAACAAAGAAGTTTTTAAATTAAAATTCAACTCGGCCCATTATCTAGGCGCTGCGTACGGGGGCGCTTAGAGAAAGTTTCAAACAGTTCATTATAGTCCCCACGTTCAAAACGATGTACAGCGGCCTTTGTTTTCCCACATCCTCCATTGTAAGGATGGGGACAGAGATATTGTTATTCTTTTTAATCTGTATAAGACAATGTCACATGTGTATTTTAGTATATGTTGAAAAGGAAGAATGTAAAAAAGTGTTTTGATTAAATGCATGCTGTAGATTACATTTACACGTCTTAAAATATTATGTTAGAAGAGAAGTTAGTATAATGGAAGTTGAATATATATTGATATACATTAAAATAATAGAAAATATACTAACAGTTTTCATTATTTTTTTTATTAAGATACCTTTCCATTTTTTTGTATTATTTTTATAGTTTTTATTTCGAATGTTATCTTGTTTATTCATAAATGGTATATCGTGGAAAACTAAATTATGTTTCATTCTAATACAAACATTCCGAAAATGTTAATTGGTATTATTAATATTAATTTTTGTAATTATGTATGTGTTTTTATACATATATTTAAAATTTTTTACAGCTATTTTGAATTTCCAATTAATTAATTATCTATACTAATATATAAAATCTTTAAGTGACTGACATACTGATTAATCACGATCCTACTCAAACCACTCAACGTAAGAAGCTCAATTTTGGCATACAGGTTGATTCTAGGGTGTAGAGGTTCGATAAGAAGGGATTTTTCGAAATTCCAGTTCCAAGAGGGTGAAACCACCCCTCAAATATTACAATATTTTTTATTTAAGAAACGGTCAAGTTTCCGAAAAACGCTTAAACACGTATATTTTATTTTGTTTTTTTACATATTTTAAGATTTCTTAAAAATGTATACAGGATGTTTCGAAAAATCTGGTCATTGATTAATCATGATCCTGCTTAAAGCGCTTGACGTAAAATGGTGATTGTTGGAAAACAAATTGACTTTAGGGTGTAGAGGTTCGATAAGAAGGGATTTTTCGAAACTCGAATTCTAAGGGGGTGAAACTATCCCTCAAATTATAATAAATATAAATCAAAAATATATAAAAATATTTTTTATTTAAAAACCGGTGAGTTTTTCGGAAGAACTCTTAAACACGTATATTTTATTTTGTTGTTTTACATATTTTAAGATTTTTTATAAATTTATACAGGCTCTTTCATAAAATATGACCATTGAGTAATCACGATTCTGTTTAAACTGCTTGATGGTTAAAGCTGACTTTTGGCAAACGGATTGACTGTGGGGTGTTGAGATTCGATAAGGAGGGGTTTCTCGAATCTCAAATTCCAAGAGGGTGAAAACGCCCCTCAAATATTACAATATTTGTTATTTAAAAAACGGTTAGTCTTTCGGGAAAACGCTTGGACAAGCATAATTTATTTGGTTTTTTACATATTTTGAAATTTTTTAAAAAATCATACAGGGTGTTCCAAAAAGTTGGGTAATTTCTAAACCACGATTCTGCTTAAACTGCTTGACGTAAAAGGCTTATTTTTGGCAAACGGATTTTTCGAAAGTCAAATTCCAACGAGATGAAACTACCCCTCAAATATTACCAAGTTATATAATAATATCGCCGTATTATTTTTTCTCATGCTGACATAAATGTGAGAAAATTTTATCCAGTTTGTATGTTAATGGAAATTCTTGCTTTGCTTTATCATCACCATTACAAATGATTAATTCGACGCGAACGAAGACGCTGGTACAGGCTATTTTTATAATAAGAAGCTTTAAAGATATCTGAATTTATATGGAATAAAATTACTTTTGTTATGCTGCTTTGGAAAGAGAATGCATTGGAAACAAAAAAATGATAATTTTAGAATTTGTTTGCATTAATTTTCATTATTTTGTTATAATATTATAAATAATAACATATTGATGAAAATATGTGTAACAGTTTCCGTATAGTTATTTTTAATTTTAGGTTATTTATTATAAACGGGGCTTCATATACTGCTGAATTATGCCCTATTTTTATAATGTCCTACTTAAAATTTTTAAGAAATCGTCTATTTTGTCTTTTAAAACCATGTTAAAAACAATTGCTACAATACTGATGTAATTAAAGCTTTGAACGTTATTATATAGCTATTTTTTGCTTAGTATTTTCTTTTGCTATTCTTTATTCTATATTGTGTTAACTGATTTTTCTATTTTACTATTACACAGGGTAATAAGTTCTAATAGCCACTTTATCAGGGCTATCTCATAGTATTTTTAGATTTTCAAATTAGTTGATAATTCGTGAGATACACAAGCCAACTTCATTTTTTTTAAATACGGACCTGCATTTTTTATATCAGGTTTTAAAAGAATTCAGATAGCCCTGATAAAGGGGCTATGAGATTGTGTAATTAGTTGTTTGATTTTATAAAAAATAACGACAGGAAAAAATAAAATTGCTTTTTAAAAAAAATCCATTTTTTTAAATAACTCAGCAATCCTTGTGAAAATATAG